ATGCATCATGGTGCAAATGGTCAAGCAGAATTGGATTAGCCATATTTCCTGTACTGAGTCACTGACTGTTGATAGTCAGTGACTATCAATATTGACTCATCCTATTGATAGTCAGCCTATGAGCGGATCTGCCCTTGCATCAGGCTGAAGCAGGTGTGAGGGGATGTAGACTTGATGTAGATACCGTGGTACAGGGGTCACATGTTGGATGGTTTTCTTTTTAATTAAGAAGATGTGGATGCAGAAGATAATGATACTTCATGGTTCTATAAAAATAAATTCCCTGTCACCTAGTTCCCAAAGGGGCCAGGACAATATGGTTTCCTCTCCCAGAATGCAGAACTCCCTGAGCAAAGTGGGTGTGAGCATAGGTTACCTCCAGAGGCTCCTCCTCTGCTTCTTTGTCATGGCTTAAAATTGTGTCACATACACATATGTTCTAACCCCCAGCATCTAATTCTCAGTATCCAACTTTACTTGGAAATGGGGTCTTTACAATGGCAATGAAATTAATATAAGGTCATACCATAAGGGTGAGCCTTAATCAAGTGTGATTGGCATCCTTATAAGGAGTGGTTTGGAAATAGTCATGTGTGACAGACAATATGAAGATATGTAGGCACAGTCACCATCTACCAGCCAAGGAAAGAGGCTTGCAGCAGGCCCTCCTTCATGCCCTCAGAAGGAACCAGCCTTGCCCACTTCCATTTTGGACTGACCGTGAGACAGTGAATTTCTGTTAGTTGAACCATCCAGTCTGTGGGACTTTATTTTAGAAACCCTAGAAAACTAATAAATGCCTCAAGAAAAGCTTCCTGTAAAAGGACAAGGGACAAGAGATGCTAATAGACCCCTGGAGAGGTAGGTTGGGGCTACAGGTTTCATGTGAACATGGCAACTGGGGGCTAGCCCTTACTCCCTTGGCTTTGCCTTGGGTTCCTAGTTTGGATGCTTAAAACAAGAAACACACACACACACACACACACACACACACACACACACACACAGAGAGAGAGAGAGAGAGAGAGAGAGAGAACACACTCAAGCACACACATGTGCTTGGGTGCCTCAACACTCTTGTGGAGGTCAGAGGACTACTTTTGAACTACTTTTGGGAGCTGGTTTTCTCTTTGCATCACGTGAATCCTAGGGATCAAACTCAGGGACTCAGTCTTGGCAGCAGCAGGCACCTTGCTGTTGAACCGTCTCACCAGCTCGAGCCCAGAAACTTTGGACACTCATGTTTGGCTTGACTGAGGGAGGAAGCTTTGAGGCTGGTGTCTGAGCTGGCCATTTAAAATCTCTGTGAGAGCCACTGGAGGTTTTGGGCAAGGGATAAGTCTGGTTATATTTATGCTTGGTGGGAGCCTGAGGTCAGAGGGCAGTCGGGGAGCTGCAGGTATGGGGCTGTTGTCAGATGACCTTTGGGACAGGTTATGACATCGCCAGGGCACTGACAGCCTCCTGCCGATTGGTGCTGCCGACCACTTCACTGGGAGTGAAGTGCAGTCAGGCAATCCTTATAACAGAAGGGCCCACGTGCAGGGCCGTGCAAGGCAGGGGGCTGAGTAATGGATCTGAGTTGTGAACTGAGCAGAAGGCTGGCAGTCCAGGAGGTCTTATGGGATATGCTCAGATGGCTCCTTTTAGTATCAGGGAGGGTGGTGGAAGCAGGAAACAAAGTTGTTTAATGTGCAAAATCATTAAGAAAAATAATGCTTTCGCTCCAGGGTGTTCAGAGCCCCTAAGCAGCTGCTAATTAGCTTGCTGCAGTCGCCAGCCCAGGCTGTGATGGGGTGAGGCTGGCTCTGGGCTGGGTACTCCTCAGCCTCTGCCCTCCTTCATGCTCCGACCTCTTGCCTCTGCTCATACCCACTTGCTGCCTTACTTCATACACTAATACATAAGAATCCCAGAGATCCTGGGCAAGTCTGTGGTTCCCATGCCCAGGTGATGAGGAACCAAGGGGCCATCCCAGGCTCTCTGCTCTCTCTGGCATCTAGGCACAGGGAGAGGGTGATTTGGTATCCCAGGAGGGAGAGGATCCACTGTCCTGTCTGCACTGTCCCTATGGTTTGGGATGGGATTTGTTTCCTGGGATGCTCCTCAGGGTTGTAGGGAGTGGGCTGATGATGGGGTGCATTTGATAGGAGGGCAAGGATGTGTGACTTTTGAGGGGCTGCCTATGGATGTGGGGGCAGGTGCTTCTGGGTGAGTGGTACAGATAGTGTTTTCCGGGGACTGTAGATACAGATGTTGACAGGTTGTTGAACTGTAGGTGTAGATCGGCATAGATACTGACATTAGAATAGGTATTGGTGACAGTAACTGAGTGTTGGATATCAGTAGACATTGGTGACAGCAACTTGAATATCAGGATGTCAATGGGTCAAATAATAACAGCCAGAACTTTCTAACACTTTCTATAGATCCACCACAGGTCTATGAATTCCACATATTTATTTAATTTTCATCACTAAACTACAAAAGATATTATTCTAGTGCCTGTGTGTGTGTGTGTGTGTGTGTGTGTGTGTGTATTTGTGTGTGTGTGTGTGTGCGCATGCGCAGGCAAGTGTTATGGAGGTCAGTTTAGGGTGTTGTTCCTTAATAGCTGTCTACCTTGTTTTTTAAGCCAGGGTCTCTCATTGAGACACAAGGGCTGGCCAAGCTAGCCAGGCTGGCTGGCCAAAGAGCCCGAGGGATCGGCCTGCTCTGCCCTACACCCCCTCCTCCTCTCAGCCCCACGAGCACTGGAATAACAAGGGCTCTCCTCCACAACTGGATTTTTACTTAGATTATGGGAATCAAATTTAGGTTCTCCTGCCTGTGTGGCAAACACCTTGCCAACTGAGCTATCTCTGGGGCCCTAGTGTCCCTGTGTCCTTGAGAAGATGTACAGAGAAGTCAGGCAGTTGTGAAGGTCACCCAGCTAATAAGGGTCAGGACTGGAACTTGAACCTGGGCTGGCTGGCTCAAAGTCCGCACTTTAACAGTAATCTTGACTGTCTACTTAATGAGGTTTAGAATCACCACAGAAACATACCTCTGGGTGTGTCTGTGAGAGAGATTCTAGAAAGGTGTAAGTGAGATGGGAAGATCCACCCCGAACATGGGTGGCATCATCTCATGGGCTGGGGTCCAGGACTAAATAAAAAGGAGGAAGAGGACTGAGCACCAGCATTTATCCCTCTCTGCTTTATTTTTGTTGTTGATGTTTGTTTTTGAGACAGTGTTACTGTGTAGCCTTAGCTGGTCTAGAATTCACTATGTTGACCAGGCTGGCCCCCAACTCATAAAAATCCACCTGCATCAGCCTCCTGAGTGCTGAGATTAAAGGCATGCTCTACCACACCCAGCTTCTCTCTGCTTCTTGACTGTGGTATAGATGGAAACAGGCAGGATGAGGCTAGGGCAGAGGGTGGATCTTGAAGGATGGATTGGAGCAGCTAGAGATGGGTGCCAGTTGGAATAAGCATGGTGTTGACTAGTTAGAGAAATGAGTATAGGGAAGAGAATGTGGGAGCCAGAACTTCAGAAGCATGGAAGAGGTGGTTCCCACAGCCTCTTTTGGGGAAACCTAGTTCCATATTTGGACCTCCTTGGTGGTGACCAGCAGGTGTGGCCAGCTTGGCAGATATCCTCTCATTGACTTGCTAGAGCCCAGGGGACTCTTTGGGGAGCTAAGTGTATACTTCCAGGAGAGCCTGTGACAATGGCCTGGGAAAGTCCTAAGGGCACTTCTAAGTGACTCCTGTGCTGGATTGGGTTCTGAGGATCAAAAGCTGGCCCAAGAACAGATCTCTCATCCCCACCCTGGCATTTCTCAGCACAGGGTTTTCCTAGTCAAATTTTCTACAAATTACTGGTCCTAAATAGGTCACTGCTTAGATTGGGGACCTCTGGGAAAGAGGGCCCAGGTAAAAGGTGAAGTTGGGGGTGAGTGTGGCTAACCTCATCCTGAAAGGGCTGAGCCTTAGGACTGGAGAATTGAAGTGATGTTAAGGTAGAGGTCCCTTGAACTAAAAACAGGAGTCCTCAAGCAGAGGCAGGGCTCTTCAGACTGAGGCAAGAACAGCTTGAAGGATGTTATTGGAGGGAACAGGACTTCAGAAACAGATTCCAAGCAAGAGACTCCATTCTAGGGGTTGTTGGTCTCCAAGGCTGAGTCTAGCAGGCTGACATAGAGCTGTGGTTAAGTGAGCTACGCCTTATGGATAGCATTGTGCTCTGAGACAGGTTACAAGCATGTCCCCAGCACTGTAGAACCTGACCATATTCAGTAGTAGAGTATAGAGTTCATCAGATTTAAAACTTAAATTGCTTCCTCTTCATCAATGGAAGTCTGGCATCCTAATGGCACAAGAGACATGTACAAGGTAGATTATATGAAGGCAGAGAGAAGGACGTCTACTTGCCAAGAAATACTTGAGCCTCCAGAAGCTGGGAGAGAGGCACAGAGCACATTTCCTCTTAACCTTCATTTTGGACTCCCAGGCTCCAGAACAGTGGTGTGCTGTTTTTCTGTTAAGCTACGCCAGCATATGGCGTAGCTTAACAGAGCAAACAGGAACCAGCAACTGGACACAGGCAGGAAAGTGCCACTGATGAGGGACAGTAGATAGCTCGGAGAGGTGAAGGAGGTGACTTGGTGACTTCAGGAGAGGGTGGTATAGACAAACATCTGTCAGCAGATGACACTTAGGACTCGGGTGACATCTTCTGAGGAGGAATCTGCACTGAGTACCAGCTCACATGGAGGGAACAGGGAAGGACCCACTCTCAGGGATGCAGACTGAGGGCGCAGTGCCCTCCTCTGAGTTGGGCCTTATACGGCAAGCTGGCACCACAAGCCCCCGCAGTCTGTACAGTTTTAAAGTTGTCTTTATCAATAATGTGAAGAGGAAAGAGCCGCTGAGGACGTGAGTTCAGCTACCAGACTCCAACTCCAGAGGAGCCAGGCACGGCTCACTCCAGGGCATCAAATGACTACAAAGACCTTTCTTAATCAATCGTATTTTATTGCCAGTTATAAATAGTTTCCATTTGTCCCATATTTACAATTGTAAAATAGTTCAGGATATTATACCCTCACCCACCTCTCTGCGTCTATCTATAAACTCCATGAAAATTGAGTAGGAAATAAAAAGCTCTTTTGTGGGGGAGGCCACCCACCTGGCTCCCCGTCTCAGATGCCAGACAACCCCACGTGACAGCAGGCGATGTTACAGCTGATGCTACACAGTAGCAAGGCAGTGGCTGGTGGTGTCACCGGAGGGTCAGGACACCAGGCTCCTCAGGACATTGGTGATAGTCCAGTGTTGTCCCGAGCACTTTTGCAGCACCAGCTGAAAACCAAACTCCATGTCACTGTTTTCTTGAAGCTCCAGGCAGCGCTTGGACTTGCGGTTCTGGATGGAGCCTCCCTAGAAGCCAGACAGAAAAAGCATCAGAGGGCAAAGAGGTAACCAGGCCGACCCAAGGAGTCCCATGCTTGGGGAGTAGCTAGGACAATCTAGATGGCTTGGGAACGCATTCCCATGACTGCAGGTTCCCTCAGCTCCTGTGTACTGATCTTCTCCCAAGGAATGGATGCATGCCTCAGTTTCTCTATAGGGCCCTAGTTCTTCATAGGGACAGAAATACCCTCTGCCAACTTCTGTCTGCCATTTTGGGCTGTGACACACTGCCTTGCTCCTATAGCTAGTTCCTAGTCAGAGGGCTGGCCCCTGCTCTGAGAAGCCTCGTTTTGTGGACCTCTCCATGATCACCCTGCATCTGAGCATCCCCCAGACTGGGGGCTTCTTGTTCCTAATGCCCTCCCACAGATGAAATTTGTTAGTGCTGGGCTCAGAAACTTAAGACCTTGGTTATTGTCTATTTGGCCATTAGGCTCTCAGGTCCTGAGCATACATGGATCTCCCGTATAACTGATAGGTTCTGGAAGGTTTTGCAGGCACAAATACTCAGTTTATGTCCAAAAGCCCTCGAAGGAAGTGTTTTCCCAAAAGCATCTATACAGCAGCTCAGGCGAGATCCTGAGGGGGTGGGCCCCCCCGGGACCACTGGCTGCAGGCCTGCTGTGAGCCTGGGATGTCTGAGGATCTGTCTTCATCTTGGTTGTGCTTAGCTGGACTTGAATTTTAAGTAGTTGCTTGAATAATGATCCCAAGAGTAGGCACTGAGCATCTGCTAGACTTGCCTAGCACAAGAACCGGCTCCTCCTGTGGTCCTCATCTTGGCAGTAAGCAGGTGCTTTTTGGGGAAACTCAAGCAGTTTCACACACTCATCCAGCTCATCACCATCCAGTCAGGGACCAAGTGCCTTGTGACTGCACCAAGCCCCTCTTCCACTGTGCTTGCCTGGTTTGGACCTCTGTCACCTTTCATCTGGACAGCACAGTGACCATGTTGACATGCATGGCTAGCCTCGAAAACACCCCACTGCAAAAGACTCCACGGCTTAGGGCTGCTTCTCTCTCCAGCCTCATCTCTGAGCTCTCCAGTTCCATACCCCAACTCCTTCCAGGTTTCTGGCTTATGTTCTTTATCTCAGTGCCTAGGCCTCTTCTCTATAGTTCTGTGGCAGCTTAAGCTGCAGTCACATCTCAAAGCCCAGTTCCTCTCCACTTCTCCAGGCTTCCAGCCACCTCCTCCAGGAACCCAGCTGGCATGGTGGTCTTCATCCTGTACCTTCTCCAGCTTATGCCAGGAAGTTCACTGTGTGAGGGACAGGTGGCTAGCTTCTCCAGTAAGGAGCGCACTCCAAGGTGGTCACAACCATTCCCATGGTAACCAACTGCTGACCTCTACAGAGAACATGAAGATATAGTTCTCAGGTATACCTAGGAAATGGTTTGTTGCTGTGGGATGTCTTTCTGTATGCTGTGAATATGTGTTACTCCCAATGACTAATAAATAAAGCTGCACTGGCCTATGGCAGGGCAGGATGGAGCCAGGCAGGAAAATCCAAGAGAGATAGTGAGAGGAGACAGGAGAGTAAGGGGAGACGCCAGCTGCCACCCAAGGAGCAGCAAGATGCCAGCAGACTGGTAATGCCATGGCCATGTGGCAATATATAGATTAATAGAAATGGGTTGAGTTAAGTTATAAGAGCTAGCTAGCAAGAAGTCTGACCCATAGGCCATAAAGTTTGTAAATAATATAAGCCTCTGTGTGTTTACTTGGGACTGAGCAGCTGCGGGATGTGGGTGGGAGAGATTCATCCTGACTTGACTGTAGGGCCGGGCAGGATCGGAGAAACTTCTGGCCTCAGCTTGTATCTATTATAGTTGAATATGTGTCCCAGGTGACCTAACAATTCTACATCTAGGCTGACATCAAGTTGGAATGTGTGCATGAAAGACATGTACTTAAAGGCTTTCTGAAGCATGATGCAAATGCTCTAAGCTGGGAAAAGCCCAAACGTCATCAAGAGTAGACTGGATAAATAACTCAGTGTCTGTTTATATAATGGAATACTATATGGTAATGAAAACTAGACTAAATCTCACAATCACAATGCTGAGCTAAAGAAGCCAGGTGGAAGAATACATATAATTCTGTTTGATAAGCTTCCCACTGGGGTAAGTAAAACAGATCTTAAAGTCAGACGGTAGGAACCAACAAAGAGTGTAAAGACAGCAGGAGGTAAAGGGGTATTCTGGGATGTGGTGCCATGCTGTGTCCTGATCTAGATGTCAGTTACCTAGGTGTTAGTTTGCTTTTAATTATTGAGTTGAACATGTATTTTGTATGTTTTTTCTGTGTTAATTTTCAATTAGAAAAAAAATGTTAAGTGGCTGGAGAGATGGCTCAGCAGTTAAGAGTACTGACTAATCTTCCAGAGGACCTGGGTTTGATTCCCAGCACCTACATGGAAGCTCACAACCTCTGTAACTCCAGCTCCAAGGGATCAGATGCCCTCTCTGGCCCCTGCAAGTACCTACATACATAAATGTGTTACACATACATAAACACAGGCACTTATACACCACAACATAAAAAGAAATAAATATTAAAAATTCTAGCTCCGTCTACAAAATACTTCATGGAGCAGGTAAGGGAGGCAGGGAATGAGAAATTGGAGGTAGAGATTGCAGGGTGTGGGTATGTCAGTGTCCAGGAGGGGTATGGGACTCATCCTTCTTATTGTGTAGGTGACGGCCCGGCAGATCACACAACCCATGTTAGAAGCATCAATGTGAGTAGCATCCTCCCACCCACTGCACTGTACATGTTCAGGCCCTCCCCTGGGGAGAACTCTCACATACTGTCTCAACAAAGCAGAAGCAGGAGGAGGGGGCACAAAGCTCCCCTGGTATCACAGGTGTGGGCTCTGAGGAAGGATTGGTCTCCAGAACCCCCATGCTACAGGACACTTTGCAGACCAGCCTTCTCTGTTACTTGCAGCCTCTGTATTCAGCCATAGGGCCAATAGGCCTTTCCACTCTGCCTGGCACCTCCAGGGAGGAAGAATAGCCCATGCCCAGCAAGAGCCTTTTCCCACAGCTACCTTTCTAAGTGTCCTCTTCCCATGAACTAAGCTCCTGTTCAGACCATCCACTGGGGACACACCACTTCCCCTCAGAGCCTCTTCTTTCCTACCTCTTCCTATTTATGCCCTCACTTCCATGATTTTCCACACTCTACTTTCCCAGTGTCTTGTGCGATAGCCTTGCATTATTTTTTCACTCTGGCCCTCTTTGGCTAAGCCCGTTAGCTCGTGTTGCTCAGAATGAGGTCAGGGCTACCTCACACTGAATAGGCTTCTTAGACATGGCTCAGAATCAGCACTTTTGTGGTCACACCTTCTTCCTACACCATACTGGGATAGCCACAGACGACACTTCAAACTGTCCTCTCAGAACTTGTGGTCTCCCTTAAGTCACCAGCCTGTCCTTCAAAGGCTGGACTTTGGGGACCCAGAAGCATCCAATAACACTTGCTCCAAGCAAGGCCACCTCATCAATCACTGCCAGCCCCAATACCCTATGTAGCCCCATGCCCTGGTTCACAGTTCTGAAGTGGTACTGTGGTCAGCCTGTCCTGGTCTCTTCACCACCCTCACCAGACAGGCTGTCTGTCTTGCTCCCAGAGGTGGGGACAAAGCTCAGGCAGGAAGTCAGGACCAGCCCAGCTCTTTAAGTCCGTGGTCTGCCTGATTTCCGCCTGAGGCAGAGAGGGGAGAGTGCTGATCTCAGAGCTTCTCAATTCTGCTTGTCAGCTGCAGCGACTTGAGCAAGGTTCCCTCCTCCCACTTCTATTTGTCTTGTCAATAGGGCTAAGGGGTGACTCTGGAGAGGATGAGCAGAAGGGCTAATGGAAGACCTGTTTCTCTGCAAGCTGGAAGACAGCACATACACACAAGGAGCTGTTCAGGGCATCAGCCTGGGGGAGGGAGGGGTCATAGAAATGAAGCCGGACCAAGCTCGATTCATTATGCTGTAGATTCTGGCTGCTCAGCACATCTCCGGGGCCAAAAGCAGGCCCTGCCAACGGCGAGGCTGGCTGCCTCACAGCTCCCAGACCCTTGAGCTTGGAAACCTTGTGGAAGAGAGACTGCAGCCCCTCCTTTCCTGACGGCCACTCCTGACACTAAGGCCTCCCTTGGGCACTTTCCCAAGGCAAGACAGTGAGGAAGGAATAGAAGAGTTTCCTTCAGAGATGCAAGGCTGACATTTCCCAGGCTCTGCCCCACCACAACCCATGTCCTCAGCACCCCAAAGACAGGAAGTGTGTGATCATGGCATAGAAACAGCTAGTGTGGCCTTCCAGAAGGGTGTGGAAGGAATGGTTCAAGTCCGAGAGCAGGAATGGGGCGGGGAGAAGGGACTCCACTTGAGTGACAGTATCAACTCCTTCCCGGGAGGGCTGTGTACGAGGCCAAGAGCTCCCGCCTCAGCAGGAAGAGCTTCTAGAGAAGTGAACAATTTGGGGAACCACATTTGGGGGATGGAGAGTACAGCCAGGCCCTCATTGGTGGTAGAACTAGCCTTGGCACTGCCGTCCTCCTCAGAACATCACCTATCTCATGGAACAAATGCTGGGCATTTTCCTACCACTCACCAGCCTTGCAAAGGAACCTTGATTTCTTCTATTCATAGTTTCCTCACACTGGGAAGCAGCCTGGCATTCTTCCTGTCTGTGTCTTGACCTGTACGTTCTGCACTGGAACTAACATTATTTGCCATTTTCCTGGCACCTTGCCTGGTGTGTTCCCTGCCCAGTCTCATGAGTTTCCTACAACACTGTCCAGAGTGGGAGGCAGCAGGAGCCCTCATTTTGTAGAACTGGAGACTGAGGTTCTGAGAGCCTGGGAAACTTCCCCAAGATTCCATGTAGAGCCCAGCTGGGACCCCAGGGAATCTTCCCCATTCCCTGTTCTCCATTAAGAAGTCTACCACTTACCCCACCGCATGCCTAT